CTGTCTCCCAGAGAGGAGCTCTGAATATCCCAGACCAGGCCAGTCTTTCTCTGTGGTTCTGGGGTGGGCAGAACTTTGGGCCCCATGATCCTCACTCTGGCAACACACCACAGTCACATTACGTCAGGTTGCAGACGTAATTAAGGCTCAGTAAAATAGAGAGATTCCCGTGGATTATCCAGATGGACCCCGGGCACTGCATGCACCCTTGAAAGGAGAAGAGGAAGACAGAGAAATGCAACGCGTATCTCAGCAAAAGCTGGTGTTTGGTGTACAAAAGCCAGGACCCAAAGGCAGAAGCTGTCAACAGACCAAAGAAAGAGGTAGATACATCCAGGCTTGCACACAGCGCAGTTTATTAGGGACTTAGGGCCAGAGCATGTGTGGGTAGCAGCAAGACAGAAGGATCCTTGCACCCCAAGGCAGGAAGAAGGGATTAACCTGCTGAGCTGGACAAAGGGGCACCTTGGCTGGCTAACACCCAGGGCTTTTCTCAGAAGCCATCAACACGTAGAAGTGTCAGGCAAGAGACAGCCTAGATGGCTGTGGCGGGCTCAGCACACACAGCTGTCTTGGTCACAGTCCTTTGTTTACCCTCCAAGGTGTGGGGTGCGTGCCAGGGCCACCTGGTGGGTAGACTCATGTCAAGCTGGATCCCTACAGCAGAAGGCAGGCAGCCTCGAAGCAGAGCCACTTCCGGTGACAGCAGTGAGGGTGACTCTCAGCCCTGCAGACCACAGCCAGCTGGGTTCTGCCAACCCCTGGAGTGGGCCCGAGCAGGTTCCTCCCAAAGCCCCCCAGGAAGACCCCAGCTGACCAACACCTTTATTTCAGCCTCATGAGACCTTATGCAGAAAACCCAGCTGAGCTCAGCTGGGAGTTTTGATCAACAGAACTGTTTTTCTCCCAGTGCTAAATTTGTGGTAATTTGTCGTGGCAGCAATGAGAGACTGGCACAGTTTCTCCAATGAGACAAAAATAAAGAGGGGCTCTTTGTGAAACTGGCCCTGTGGAGCTGACTGTGATCATAAGAAGTGTCATTGAAAGTATGGGAGCCAGGTATAGTGGTGCACACCTGTAATCCCAGCACTCTGGAGGCTGAGGCAGAAGGATCCCCAATTTTGAGGCCTGCCTGGGCCACAAATTGAGTTTAAGACCAGCCTGAGCTACAGAACAAGACCCTGTCTCAAAAGAACAGCAACAAAGCATACATATGGTAACCACATTTCTTTCATTACTCATCTGTAATAATTTCCATATACATTTTTCTGCCCAGAAAAATGGAAGGATTTAGCCAACTTGTTAGCTATGGAAATCCCCAGCAGTAATTATATTTCCATTTGCTTCTTTGAACTCTGTATTGCCTACAGCGGGATTTCTCAACTTCAGCACTGTTAACAATTGGGGGCCAGATTGTCCTTTGTTGTGAGGGCTGTCCTAGGTCATACAGGATGTTTAGCAGTATCCCTGGCCTCTGCCCACTAGATGCCAGTGTCACCCCCACACACATACACTGTAACAACCAAAATGTCCCCAGATACATTGCCAACGTCACCTGGGGTGCAAGATCACACCCCTCTGACCTCTGGTCTACAAGTAAACATGATGTGTTTGTGCAATGAAAAAGTTAAAGATGTACAGAATGATAGAATGGATAGAAATTCAGATGATAGGTAGGTAACTACATAGGTAAATGATGGTGGTGGATGGATGGATGGATAGATGGATGATGGATGGATGGGTGGATGGGTGGAGGGACAAATGAATAGATGGGTGGATGGGTGGGTGGGTGGGGGGATGGGTGGATGGACAGACAGGTGAATGGATGGTATAAATAATGTATAATTCTGTTAGTCAGCTTTCCCTTCCTGTGTCAAGCTCCTGAGACAATCAACTTATAAAGAGAAAAGGTTTAGTTTGGCCTATGGTTATGGAGGTTTCAGTGCCATGGCCTATAGCACCACCATTTGGGAGTCTATGGTAAAGTAGTGTATCATGGTAGGGAGTGTGTAGTGGAGCAGAGCTGCTCAACTCATGGCTGGGATAGAAAAGACAGGAATAAACTGGGGTTCCACTCTCCCCTGCACAGACATATCCCTCATGTATGGAAGCCTCCCCAGTAGGCTCCACCCCTTAAAGTTTCCACAACCACCCAATAGTGGGACACTGAGGAACAAGCCTTTGACACCTGCACTTTAAGGGCGGATTTAAAATCCAAACTATGATAATAAATAAGAGAGAAAGAATGGGAGAGAGGCAAGACACACCGAGTACCATTAGGAGAAGCCATTCTGATTGCTCCCCTGAGCTTTTCCTGGCTTCCTCTAACACAGGAAGAAGGTAAGTGACTAATTCCTAACTCACCAGAAGACATCACCCAGGTGAGTGTCCACAGGACTGTCCTCTGGAGACTTTGCCTATATTCCAACGACACTGCCAGAATAAAAATGCTTTTAATACTCTTCTTTGGAATCTCTCTTCAGAATAAATAATATATACTTTTGAATAACTTCAGAGAGGGTCACTATTCTTTTTTTTTTTCATAAGTGAAACTGATTATAAGAAATAGACAAATTTAGCTGGGGATTTAGCTCAGTGGTTCCACCACCTGCCTCATAAGTGCAAGGTCCTGAGTTCAATCCCCAGTACCAAAATAAAAAAAAAAATTTAAAAAGGACAAATTTAAGCCAGGTGTGGTGGTATACACCTATAATCCCAGCACTGGGGAGGCTGAGGCAGGAGGATTGCTGTGAGTTTGAGGCCAGCCTGAACTGCATAGTGAGACTCTGTCTCAAAAAAAAAAAGGCAGATTTAAATCTGGATTCAATTGTGTGCAAAATAAGCTGCAAGACTAGTTTTAAGTATATGTTTGTTGTCCTTGTAGGTTGAATTGTGTTTCCCTAAAAGACATGCATCCCCTGGAGTTTGGGGTGCAAATCGTATTTGAAAACAAGGTATAGAAGGCATAGAAGGCATAGAAGTTAAAACAAGGTCATGTTTGAGCCAGGTAGGCCCCTAATCCAATGCCTGGTGAAAACAGAGGCATGCAAAGAAGAAATAATGCAAAGATGCAAAGGGAGAACACAGCCATGTGACCAGAGTAACGTGGCTGAAAGCCAAGGAATGCTGATGTTGGCCAGCAGACCCGAAAGCTAGAGGAGACAGAAAAGCATTCTCCCCTAGAGCTGTCAGAGACAGCACGGCCCTGCTGGCATTTTGACTGCAGGCTTTAGCTTCCAGAGCTGAGAGGTGATACACTTCTGTTGTTTTACCAGTTTGGAATAGTTTGTTACACCAATGCTAGAAAACTAATCCAGTTGTCTACTCAGCATCCATTTCCCTCTCCCTAACATCACCCAGATTTCCACATGTGCACTGACCCCTTCAGCACACCGTCCAGTGCCACACAAAAAGCAACCAACTCCCACTGCCAGGTTGAACCCTGACTGCCTGAGTCGATCAGTATCTTTGAGTGCCTCTCCACAAATCCCTGGCCCAGGGCTGGACCTGCATCTTAAACTGGGTCAATCAGAATGACTCCTAGGACTGTCACTTAGAATGGGGAGATGGAGGGATCAACAAAGAAGGATGGGGACCACTGGAGATGAACTAGAAAAGGCAAGGCCGAGATTGCATTGACTGCATCATCTTCTGGTACAGTCAACAGGTAGGCAATGGAGCAGAGAAGCACAGGGGTGGGGTCCATGGAGATGACCTTAAAGCATTAGACTGAGGTGCTCTGAAACACACTGACCTTACAGTCTCCCCATAATGTCTTTATGGCTTAAGACCATTTGACCTGGATCTCACATCCCTTGTAACCCAAAGCTTCCTAGCTGACAAGCTGACACCACAGGGCAGTATGTACTACTCCAGCAGAAATGGAGGGCTTTAAGAGCACCTCCTAAAAAGCTGGGCATGGTGGTACATGCCTGTAATCCCAGCTCTCAGGAGGCTGAATCAGGAGGACTGCTACAAGTTTGAGGCCAGCCTCAGCTACATAGTGAGAGCCTGTCTCAAAAAATAAATAAAATAAAAAATTTAAATTTAAAACTTTTTTTAAAAGGAGTTTTTTCTTATCACTAAAAGGGCCTAGGAAAACTATAGACCAGCCTCAGATTTTAACTAGATCTAGAAGACCCTGTGGTGCCCATATCCCTGGACATGATCCCTATGCAGGAAGGCTATACACTGCCAAGACCTGAACCTTGCCCTGCACTGGATTATCTGGCCAGGGAGGGTGCCAAACCTGAAGCAAGGCAAACCGTAAGTGCTGGAGTGATCAAGAACCCGGAAGTAGTCAACCAGGGCGGGGCAGGAAGTTGTTGAGTCAGTACTACATTTTCTTGGCCTCTTAGTAGGGCTAACCTTGTGATCTCTGGCCTGAAAACTCACCCTTTATTAGCTCATTCTCCTTCCTATCTCATTTCACACTACTTGCACTTAAATTCACATCTCAGGGTCTGTTTCCGGGGGGACCAAAACCAAGATACCAGGAAAAGACAAGATGATTTACGCCGCGGATTTGAGGGGGTGGCAGGTGTTGGGACATTTCTTGCTGCTTGTCCAGTCAATAAATCCATCACACTGAAGTTCTGGTTTTACTCATGACTGAGTTTCCTGCCTAAGACCTGAGGACAGGAGGCAGTGGGGGTTTCCATTCCCTTCTGCATGTTCACCGCATCTTGAAACTGAAGATAGGCACACACCTCTTATGATTTCTTCCTGCCTCTTGACCTTTCCATTTCCTGTCATGATGCCCTAGGAAGGGGGTGAATTATACATGGGAACCGGAGCCCACATGATACCACCTTCATAAAGTTGGGGCCGGTAGTTGATCTCAGTCAGGGTAGTTAGTTGCCGACCGCTCAGTGGCCGTATTTACTTTGCTTCTCCTGCTTTGTTTAATTAAATTATAGTTTTTATATAGTTAAAAGTTAATCATTTGCATGTACAGTTCTGACACTTCTTTAGTTTTTAAATTTTTATTGTGAGTTATAATTCATAAATTGAAAGAGCATAAAAGATAAACATATACCCGAATGAATTGTCAGTAAGTGGACAAATGTCTAACAAGTCCATACAGTGGTGTAACCACCATTATCCATCAAGATGTAATTCTGACAGACTGCAGGAAAATCTATCCAAACTATGGCACCTTGGTATACTGAGCAAACAAATTGAGAAATTCCTGAAACATGGGCATAGGGAAATTTTCTTACCTTCCAAAACAGTGGGTCATAGAACCCTCATGTGACAGGTGTCCTGCCCTATGCCTGAAAGCCAAAAAGAATCTGAACAAACAGGCCTTGCTAAATTCCTTCAACTTACTACCATTGGGTCACACTTCCTTTCCACCTAACTATACTTCTATGCAACTCTCCTTCCATCATTAAATCCAAGCATAAAAATCCAATTTTCCCTGGATCTGTGGGTCTTCATTTCTGAAAGCCTCCATGACACATAAAATTTTAGCTCAATAAATTTGTATGCTTTTCTTTTGTTAGTCCATCTTTTGCTACAGGACTGTCCACTGTGAACCTTGTGACAGGTGAGGGGGGAAAATCTTTTCTCTCCTATGATTCCATGGTTTTAATTTTCACATGTAGGACTATGATCCATCTCAAATGAAGTATTGTGTCCTAGGTAAGGTCGAGACCAAAGTTAATTTTTTCTATATGAACGTTCAATCAATTCAGCATCTCTTACCTAAAAAAAAGCATCCTTTCCTCACTGATTTGCCATGGAATCTTTGCCATAAATCCAGGTGACCATAAACGTGAAAACACTTTCTTGAGTCTCTTTTCTATTCCATCCATTTATTCATTTATTCTTGCATTACTCTCAGACTATCTTAATTACTTTTGTTTTATAGTAAATCATGCAATAGGGTTATATAAGTCCTCTAAATTTGTATTTATCCAGGGTTGCCTGAGCTGTTCTAAATCATTTGAATTTCCAAATAGATTTTAGAATCATGTTCTCAATTTACTACAAAGTAACCCAGTAGGAATCTATAGGATAATTTAAGAAGAATTGACATCTTAGAAACATTTAGTTTTTCACTTTATGTCAAAGTGTACATATTATAGACCTTCACTTACTTTGGTCTCCTTTAAAGTCTCTCAGTAACGGTTAATGTTTTCACGGTAGAAATCTCGATCATCTTGCATTATATTTATCCCAGCCGTTGCGCATTTTGTGATTTTTTTTTTTTAAAGGCCAAGGATGACGGTAAAGGAAGGAAGGGGAGGTGAGTGAATACCTCCTTCAACTTTGTGTTCCAGATGCCAGTCCCACTTGATGCTAGTGCCAACCCTGGATGTTCTACCTGATACTTCCTTTAGAAGTTTATTTCTATCCGTTTGTTTTTAGTACCCAAAGCAACCCTGACTCTCAACTCCCTTAGTGGAGAATGGGTCATCCATGGTTGGACTCATGCCCAAAGCTCAAGATGCAGAAGCTGATGTCCCACAGACTGAAAAAGAAGAGGGTGTCTGTGTTGTCAGGGGTCTGTAGATTTTCTCCCGGAGCTCTCTGCTGTATCTTGCCACTTCTGAGTCATTTACCAGGTTCCTAAAGCATCACAGGAAACTGGGAACCTAGGGACTGGGTTTTAAATCAGAGCTGGGGGAAGGGCACTGGCCCAGCTCCTGTGAGTCCGGGGAGGCCAGAAGTCCCCACCAGCCCCCCATTTCTCCATCTACCGGCTCTTTTTTCTCATGTTTGGACTCATTACAAAAGGGAATGTGCGTCATTTCACACAACTGCCCACTGTTGGGCAAGATGGAATTAGCATATAAGGAAACAGAAGGGAAAATCAAGTGTGGACATAAACTGAAGTAAGCAAGGTGTGAGTAAAACTAGAGGTAATAAAAATGGGTCAGAGCCAAGGAGTGAGGAGAAGCCAGGGTCTAAGCCAGAGCCAGGGCCAGAACAGCACAGATTTCCGAGCTGACCTCAGGCTCTGTCTGCTCCTTAGAGAGCCAGAACTTAGTTTGCCCATGGTCACTCTTCTTGTGTTGGGATTCTTGCCTGAGCCTCCCAGCTGTTCTCCCGGCTTCCAGCTCTGCCCCTCCCCTCAGTCTACTGCCACACTGGTAGCCAAAGTGACCTTTTAAAAGTCAGCCCAAAGGGGGAGAAAATACTACATCTGCAGCTTGTATGTGATAGAGCCTTGTATCCAGGATAGTTAGTTTAAATATTAAATATTAACAATCCAGTTTAAACAACCCAATTTAAAAGTTGGCCAAGGAATTGGATAGCAGTTCTCTGAAGAAGCTAGACCAGAGGCCAAGAAGCATGTGAGAAGATGCTCAACATCGTTAGTCATGAGGGAAATGCCAATCAAAACTACACCCCCATTTTGACTACAGTCAGTAAGATAAGACAACAAGTACTGCCATGGATATGGAGCAACTAGAATCCTGAAACTTTGCTGCTAGTAGCTTAAAACAGTGACATAGTTTGGCAGTTCCTCCAAGGTTAACAGAGTAACCATGCAGCCCAAGATTCTACTAGGCACACACCCAAGATAGTCAGAACATTAGGGAGCAATTAGAGTACAAATAAAAGCATGGATATGTGCAACATGGATGACTGTCTTTAACCCACTGTTGAGTCAGGACGAACAAGTACAAACCATGTGATTCCATTTCTATGAAACTCAAAAACAGGTGAAACTTAACTTTTGACCCATACCAAAAATATGGGAAGGAACCCATATTTCCCCCCTAGGTGCCCCTGACCGTGAAGGACAGCAAGAACCAAGGCCTCGATTGCTACCTGGGCTCTCAAATTTTCTCCACCTCTTGTCTCAGCTTCTATTCGATGTCAGCTCCAGTTACGAATGTCTTCCTCCACTATGCAGAATCCAAGAAGACTCTGAATACACACGTTTCCAGCCCTCTCACCTGGAAAAAGGCCTCTCGTTCCTTACTTCCCACCCAAAAATTCAAGCAAAGCCTTCTAATAGCCAGAGATTATATGTACAAATCCTTGATTATTACCAAATAATAGCATAGGCACCTCCCAATAAGCCCTGTGGTTGGAGTTGAGGAAGAAGAGGAATTTTTTTGAGGAAGGTGCTGTTTTCACAAGACAAGTGAGTGCTTGACAGTCTCAGAGCCATCTATACCACTCAGGCCCCGAGCTCACCTGGAATTCGACAGGTGCCTCCTGTCCTTTCCAGACCAACAGTTTGTGCCTCTGTCGGCTCCTGGGTTGGTGCTCACAAGTAAATCTTGCAGCCAGTTCCCCAACGCTCTTATGAAATCCACCCCCATTTCTATTCATTGCTGGTTCTGGCCTCTCTTCTAGGTGCTCAGGGGCATTTTCAACCTTCAAGGAATCCACATACTGAACTAACTATAATTATGCTTGCCTTGCCAACTTGGTAATGCCTCCTAAATTTTAAACACATATGCCTTTGACCTAGGATTTCTGCATCTAGAAATGTATCCTATACTCATATAAACATGCTTACAAGCAAACAAAAATATGTTTGAACATATGCAGTCATGTTTATAGAAAGAAAAAAATGGAAGGAGGAGGTTGGATTTCAAATGCTTATCACAAGAAAGCTCATTACGTAAATGATAATCCATAGACACAACGGAATATTTTACAACTGTTAAAAGAACAAGGATCTGGGGCCGGGGATTTAGCTCAATGGTTCTGCCACCTGTCTTGCAAGAGCAAGATCCCGAGTTCGATCCCCGGTACAAAAAAACCCAAAAAACAAAAAACTATATAAAAGAACAAGGTTCTTATACTGATAGAAGTGCAAGATATGTCAAAAACCAAGTTGCCAAACAATATCTATGGTAACATGATAGTAAGAATACTGATGATAATAGCAGTACTATATCTATGTTACTGGGTACAGAGAAAAAATGTCTGAGCCATCTACATAAAACTGTTAACAATTTTAGATGCTGGTTGTACAGGGTGACTTTCATCTTCCAATATTTGTGCAATATTTTAACTTTTTAAAGAAAGTATATTTCTTTAGGATCTAAAACATCAAATAATGGTCTGCTTTATTGTTATTGTTGTTGTTGTTGTTTGTTTGTTTTATTTTGGGTGGGGTTTTTTTTGATATCAGGGATTGAACTCAGGACCTTGCACTTGCGAGGCAGGCACGGTGCACTGAGCTAAATCCCCGGCCCTGGTCTGCTTTTTAAGAAAGGGTCTTGAAAGCCGAGGACAGTTGGACAGATATGGTTGCACTGCCTTTCAGACAGATGTCTTACGTTCACAAGGTTGTTTAAGAATTCAGACTTATTTCCTCACTCACTGACCCATAACACAACAGACTAAATGTTCGACATGGGAAAATTCTCAGGGACAAAAGAGCTCATTCAAGCAGACTGACAGCAGGAGCTATCTCAGAATCAGGAGACACAGGCATCCTGCCTGTTCCGGGCGGGAAGGCTGGGGGGCTGGGAGGGGCCCGGGCTGCAGTGCTCTTCCTTGCAGGTGAAAGCCTTGGCTTTGCTGGGTCAGCACTGCTGTGGCCCGAGCAGAGGAGATCAGGAAGACGAAGCCTTTGTACTTCGGAGGGCTTCAAAGCCAGGACACATGGAGCAGAAGACAGAGGACAGGGTGTGTCCCGGAGGAGAGCGGTGGTCGGGAATCGAGTGCCACTGAGGTCAGCATGGAACCTGTATTCTGAAGTTTACTTTGTTTAGAAAACAAATGTATGGTGGTAGAATACACATGAGATAAAATTCACCGTCTTAGTTGCTTCTCAGTACACACTTCAGGGTGTTGGATGCATTGACTGTGGTGGGCAGCCGTCATGAGCATCCATCTCCGGAGCTCTTCTCATCTTGCAGAACCAAAATTGTACCCATTAAACAACAGTTTCCCATTTTCCCCGCCACCCCTAGTCCCTGTCACCACCAATCTACCCTCTGTGGTTATGCTCTGGGTGACAGGGGCATCTCTTACAGGTGGAATCTGTAGGGGCTTTTATAGTGTTTGTCTTTTGTGACTGGCTTATTTCTCTTACCATCACATTCTCAAGGGGCATCCATGCCACCGCGTGATGTGCTGATTGAACTGAAGGCACTTGGGAATTTCCCTTACCTGGCTCGAATCTAGTCCTTCCCTAGTTAAATCATCAACAGGGGAGACTAACTCTTAAAAGGCACTAAAGTTCACAGCCTTGCACAGAGAGGCTTCGGCACAGCCTGTTACCTGTCAGAGAATTTATCTGCACAAGGCAATCTTTGTTCTCCTGCACCTCCTCCCTCCCCCTCCCATCCCCAGAGCCACCTCCCTTCCGAAGTCCCAAGCCTCTGTCTTCCTGGAGCTCAGAATACTATATAAACTTTGATCATCTGGCACCCTTTAGACTTTCATACTTTGGGAGACTCCATGCATATGCACAAAATTAAAGTGGTTTTCTCCTGTTAATCTGTCCACTGTCGGCTTATTCCAGAGATTCAAATTACAGGATCTTTGAAGAAAAAGCTTAAAATTACTCAGTGTGTGTCAGAAATGTGTTCCTTTTTATGGCCAAATAATATTCCATGGCATGAATATGCCACATGTTGCTTATCTACTGAGACACATGGATTGGTTCCACATTTTAACTACTGTGCATATTGCTGCTGGGAATATAAACACTGGGTACAAATCTCTCTGTAAGAGAAGTCATCCTGAGATTTTCTGACATAGGCAGATCACTTCTGAATCAGATAATGACTTGCAAGTAGCCTTCTACCTCTCCAAGTGCCCATCTTATCCTTACCTCATTTACTGTTTCATGGCCTGCAGGGAAGCAGGGCAGCTGTCACCTGTGTAGAAGGAAACCAGGAATCATGAGGGTTGGCATTTCCCCCGAGAACCCACCAATTCCCAGTTCGGCCTCAGTCTCAGCTTACTCTCGGTGGGCCTGCCACCATACGATGTATTATTATTTCAGGGTCTGCATTTGCAGATGAGCAAGAGCTATTTCCGGGTCTCCATACATACACAGGCACATCCACCAACCCCTCCCGTCAAGGCAGCTGTGTGGGCCAGGCACCAGTTTCCAACCCTCAACCTCAAACTCATTCAAGTTCATCAGAAAATTTCAACATTTTGCCAAGAATGTGGACACTCCCCTCCCCCAGGAGGTTGTCAAATCATATCACACACAAAAAGCTTTGTTCCAGACCAATTTGGGGACTTTTCTTTTACAGATTGTTGACACCAAAATCTCGTGCAGCACCCACTGAAAGAGCCCACTGTGTCACAGAGGAGGGACGCCGAGCTGACACCTCCATTCCCCAGCTCTGCTCCAAGGACCTCTCTGACCACTTTTCGTCTCTGACACCAAGGTAAAGTCCCTGGGGACGTAGACCTGCCCCTCCCACAAAGGAACCCCCTTTCTTTTTCCAAGGGCTGTGCTCCAACCCCCGTGCAGCCAACATTTACTATATATTTTCAAACAGCTACAAGGGGGGATTTTGAATGTTTCCCTTAATGGCTTTAAACCAACCAACACAAAGCAATAGTAAATGTTCAAGGTAATGGATATTCTCATTACCCCGGTCTGATCATGGTCCATTATACATGTGTGTGTTGAAAGGTCACACAGTGCCCCATGAGTATGTGTAATTACTGTATTGTGTCAATTAAAAATAATAATAATTGGCAAAGGTAAAAAGAAGGAGAGCGTGAGCAGATATACAGGGCCCACCCCATCACCGTGACCAAGCAGACGTCTCTGTCCTTACGGAGTCCCATGGTCTCTCTGTAGCCTCCCACACAGCGGCTCCACCCTCCCTGCTCAGCCCTTGGCTGCTGCCCGACTGCCCCCAATTCTCAAAACTGTCCTTCCCACTTCATTGCGCAGAGTGGTTCCTGAACCTCACTCCCCACCCTGAAGTTGGGCCCCCAAATATACTTTTGTATATTCAGAGACACTAATGTGCCCCGGCTCCTCCCACGCTGGGGAAAGAAGTGGGCTGAGTGGATATACCACTGCCCACCCTCCACTCATGCCCCACAGCTCCGCCCGGAGGCTCCGGCTGTGTCAAGAAAGGAGCTCTTCTGTGAAATAAGCTACCAGCCCCAGCGGTTGTTCCTTTCCATCCTCTGCAACAAAATGCGCATCTCAGCAAAGGCTGGGGGTGGGACAGATACCAACTGCACACAAAGGACAGAGCTGATGGCAGCAAGGCTTAAGAATACCCTGAGGACCCACCTGCTCCCACTAGTACCTGCCCACCTCAGAGCTGCACCCAGCTTGGAGTCTGCCCAAAAGTGAGGAGGGGAAAAGTGAAGGAAGGGGGAAGAATGAAGCTCTTATTTCATTTGAACACTTGAATCTAGAACTTCAAAGCAGAATTCACTGTTGTCCTTGTTTTAAGCAGCTAATATAATTCAGGAACTGTGCTGGGTATTGAGGACAAACTTTTGAAAAGCTGCCCTCTAAAGCACAGGGCCCTGTGTGGGAGACAGCTATGAACAAGCAGTTCTGTCCACACCACCCGGGGTGCGGGGAAGCCCCCCAAGGGACCTGAGTAGAGGAACCCAGCATGCCCCTGTGAGCCAGCAAACATGACCGAAATAACATGGTGACATGAACGCTGAAAATAAAATTCAGGTTGAGTAGGAGTTAGGGAAAGACAAGAGGGTGGGATGGGAAGGTGTTGGGGGAGAGGGGGTGCAGAGGTCTGGGGGTCCAGGGAGGAGGCATCTATGGGGCTGGAGGCCAGGGACTGAGAGGTGGACAGCTGCGAAGGGCAGCAGACAATGCCCCCAGGGAAGATGAGAGCTGTGTGCCCAGCTGACTGGTTGGGTTTTAGCTAGAAGGTAACTAAAAGCCATTAAGGAGAACAGGAAGGGAGTTGCTGGGAGGGAACCAACCAGGGAGAGAGCCTGAGGCACTAACAGGTGGGAGAAGATGAACGATGGGAGAGGAAGGGAGACTTTGTGAAGCCCTAAAGAACCCCATCGGGCCGCTGTGCAGCTGTGCATGGGGGCAGAGAGCTACTGAGGACAAGGTCTAGTAACTGGCCAGGCCCCACACATCTCTAGATAAGGAGTGGGTTCTCAGGCACAGACAGTCATCTGAACCTTGCCCTTGCCTTCCCTGGACTGTGGCTGGGTGGAGTTGACTCCTGCGGGTTCTGGAGCATTCTCCAGAGTGCCTCAGAGCTGTCCACGCCTAGCTGAAAGGACACCCATGACCTCCCTTCAGGACCACGAAGTAGTTACCTCCCCAGAGGCCTCCATGGAACTCCCATGTCCCAGGGAGCCTGACATCTCTGACCCTCTGCTGGTTCCACAGGACGGTGCTAATGTCACTGGTTGTCCCCTATTAGAAAGGGCCAGGTGGACATGAAAGAACAGTGCATCTTAACCCACTGTGGGGTCTGGGAGCATTGAAGATGGAGCCATGCACAGCGTCTGGTGCCGAAGGCTGGCCAGGAAGACGGGCCCACACGGGTGAGCCTGCCAGGGGTCAGGGAAGGGCCAAAGTGGCGTTAAAGGGCACCCAGCTTGGCTCCTTTTGGGAAGTTGGCTACCCAATTCCCAGTTTGCCAGGTCTCTTCAGCCACAATAACAGCTGCTCTTCGCTGTGTCTCTCTGGGCCTGGGCCCTGTGCCAACCCATCCAAGCAACTCACTTATGCTTGAGGTGCAGGAGGTGCGATCACAGCACCTCATTACCATCAGCTGTTGATATTTTTACTGCGGCTCTTCCCAGATCGTCTCTTGCTCTCCCATGACCTCCTGCCCAGGAATGAGGCCCAGTGAGCCTTCCAGACCTAGCTCAGGGCAGGATCCCTCATCTCCAGAGGAAAGACAGCCTCTGCTCTAGCCTGGGGCAGCTGTCCCCTCAGGAGCCACTGCGTCTGAGCGCGCAGGCATCTCACACAGTCCAGAGGGGACAGAATAGGGAGATAATCCAAATATCCTTTCCTTCTTCCACTCACAGCCCCTCCATGTGCCACATGCCTCGGTCACAGCCTCGAGACCCTTGCAACACCAGTACCCTCTGCAGGCTCTTCCCGAAGAAGGTGCCCTGTCCTCCTGTCCGGTCTCTGGCCTCACCCTGACCCAGACACAGGCCTCCTGCTTCCTCCCAGGCTCCCTGTGGCCCCTGGAACAGTCTTGAAGAGGAGCAAACAGTGTCCTTCTGCCTGAGTGCAGGGGGTCCCAGCTATGTGCCGGGACGCTCACCACAGGCCGGGTAACCGAAGCCCCTCAGCCTGACTGTCACTCCGGTTCCCACTGAGCACACCTCTGCCTGCCCTGGCATGGCCGTCCCCAGCGTCACCAGCCTCTGTTGCCATCCTGGGACTCCCCTGCCCACCTGCTCCCTGGGTCCCCTCTCTCTGCCGCTCTTCCACACCCCAGCAGCCGCACATAGCCATGCTGGTACCGGCAAGTCCTGTCAAGCCCCAGACCCTTCCTTCTGGCCTTTCTTTCAGCTGTAAGGACAGAGATGCCTGCTGAGACCAGAGGAATGTGTCACCGCTCTCTGGGGAAGTCAAAAAGCATCTTGTCAGAACACAGCAGGTTCTCATTTGTAGAACTGGAGAGTCATCTAGAAAATAGGAAGTGGGAAAATGATAGGCATCTAATAAGTGAAGACATGAAGCACTTAGGTGGCTGCAGGGTATGAGGGGACCAGAAGGGAAGGCAGTTCTGCCAACAGTTCTAAACAAGAGCTCCCGAGTAGGAGAAGTCATGGTCAGGAGGCAAGAGCATCACCAGGAGGCTCAGCCATGTCCCCCACCCATGGCCTTCCTCCATCAGCAGGGGCCCTGCCCGGCCCCTGGGACCACAGCTTGAGAGGCCCCGGATGTGCAGTCAGCAGTGGCCTATGTGGGCATCTGTGTGGAGCACCCGGAACTGGGGCCCAGCTGCTTCCTCAGTTCTGGGCAAGCAGGCGTGGCCATGTGCAGCCTTGCCCTGCCCACCAGGCTCCCACCAAGCGCCCTGGTGCCTCTGCCTCGGGGTCCCGGCAGTTGGCACACCATCGCCTTCACGCTATCAAGTAACTTCCGGCCTGCAGCCCGGGGACCAGAGCAGAGCCAGGCCCTGAGCAGACTTAGCTCTCCAGCCCCTGCCGCTCACCCCACGCAGAGGGCACACAGGACGCCAAGGTTGCGAGCTGCAAACACAGCCACCCTGCAGCCTCGGGGAGCAAAGGGGCCCCAGCAGGGCTCCAGAGGCAGAGCGTGCACAGCTGTCCGCGGGCTCCCTCAGCACTAAGGGAAATGGCCCCATGCTGTCACTGTCACTGTCACTGTCACTGCAAAGGATGAGTGAGGCCCATCCCCTGAGAGCTCTCTGCAGGGAAGAGCCGCTGCAGCTTCCTGCCCCGACCGACCTCCCTCGGGCCCTGGCTTTGGGTTTGTCCCTAGGCTCCCCTTGATCCTCTCTGGAGGGCGAGGGCAGTCCCAGCCCCCGGAGAGTGCCTGTCCCTCCTCTAGTGGGCACCGCCAAGGATGACAGAGCTGGTGGCACTGGCCCCTCCCCATGCCGTGAAGAGAAACTGGCTGATGAGCCCCAGCCGGACCCACAGGGAAGGACTCCAATGCAGGGGGCACTGTCAGCTCTGAGGCAGAGGCCGTGGGTGGCAAGAGGAAGGCAGGCAGGAGCAACAGTTCACATCTTTATCACACTGGTTTGCAGTTTCCATCCTCTTACCCCCGAGCTTCCTTCCTGATTCTCTGCCCAGCCCAGCAGGTTTGGGGAACCGGCCTGCCAACCACAGCTTAGGGCAGCACAGGGCGGGGTGGGCAACCAGTCAGTTGGTGGTTAAGAGAGCCAGCTCTAGAGTGAGACGGGACCCCAGCCTCACCCTGGAGCGCTCTAAGCCTCAGTTTCCCCATCTGTAAAATGGTGATGATATCACTGACCATCCTGCAGGGCTGAGGAGACCACTAAACAAAGAACTGTGGGAGGCACGAGGGGCAGGGCCTGGCACATAGTAGGGCCCCAGTAGATATCAGCCACTACTGTGGTCTTGCCTGGCAATGGTAGCTGAAGAACCAAGGGCCTCCCACAGCCTGCAGCTCAGTGCGTGGGTGCTGAATGCTCTGAGGGACGCTGAGGGAATGCTTCCCACCCAAAGATGTCTTACTCCATCTGTTATTCCCCTTGCCTCTGTGTCTGCAATTAGAGATTGGTTCCCCCAGGTAATGCGAAGCAGCATGTCATGTCACGGGATTTGCACAGAAGTGTAGGGTACACCATTGTCCCTGGGGAACAGAGGGGTCCAGCTAGGGCTTGCTTAAGGGCGAGGGAGGGGGACAGATGGAGGACAGGTCTGATTTTCCACAAGCTACAGATAGAGGCGGGGGCTGGCATGTCAGGCAGCCACAGTGCCCCTCATGGGGCTAGGGGACCCCAAGATCTAGCCTTCCCTAGGCCCTCTGCCATCACTTCCGAGAGCCCAGTTTCTGCATGTCAGAAATGAGTACCTGTCTCTTGGGGTTGTGGTTAGGATCAAACAAAGTGACTTACACAAAACTCTTCAGACAGAGCTAGACAGACATGATGTGTTAGTCTGCTCAGGCTGCCACAACCAGGGAGTACAGACTGGGTGCCTTAAATGACAGAAATCGATTTTCTTGTGATTCTGGGGGCTGGGGGTCAAAGGTCAAGGTGTCAGCGGGTTGCTTCCTCGGTGACCCCATCAAAGGCTTGGTGATGGCCACCTTCTGCCTGCGCCTTACATGGTCACCCCTCTGTGAGTGCCTGCATTCTTATCTCCTCAAGCAGACCTCAGCCCTGTTGGCTTATGGCCCATCCTCATGTGTCAGGAGCAATTCTACATAATTTAGAGGAAAAATCGTTTCACAATTAAATTATGATCAGGCATAGTTTTCCTGACTACAAGCTAGCTATGGCATGTCGAGACAACTCCATTTTTGCCTCCAGTCACAGCTGAGACTTCAATGGTGCCATGATGCTGTGACACTGCAGGGCAGGACTGCATCAGCTGAAGACATCCTAGTTCCTTGAAGACTGAGTAGAAAGGTATCACCTGGGGAGGGACAAATTCCTTGTCAACTTAACTCATCCCACCTACTATTGTAAGAATGCTCTCCTTACAGCCCTCCCCAATATAAGAACCTCAGTGACCTAGGGTCTTCATCAGCATAAGATCCACATCCCACATGGATAAAGGCTCACCAGGATTACTGCAGCCCCCTACGTCACCTGATGCTCCCAGCAATTATTGTGTGTACCCAGTAAATAGTGGCCAGCTCGGAGAGTCTTTGGCTTTCCCTGCTCTGAGGCGCTGACCTCCCAGGCCTCCATATACTTTGAAATTACGAAGGTGTCTATTGTCTTTTTTCTCTTTAGCCCTTGACATCCCCCTTTCTAGGCAGTTGGACGATTGATTGCCCATTTTAACTTAATTACCTCAGTAAAGATCTACCTCCAAAAACAGTCATGTTCTAGGCCAGTGATGGCAAACCTTTTAGAGCTTTCAGTGATACAAACAGTCATAGGTTCACCGCCGCCACGGTGCTAGACAATGGGAGCTGGGAATTCAACATACATGTTCCGAGGTGATGCAATTCAGCCCATAACAATTGCTACTCATGAAACAATGTATTTAATTCAGTTCCACACATACCACACAACACATACCTTCTTTAGGGCACTTAGGGTACATCACAAGCAAAGAAGGTAAAAATCCTTGTTCATCCTGGGAGTGGGAGAGCAAGAGACATAACAAAAATTAAATTGTGCAATGTTCTATAACGTGATCAGATCTATTAAAAAAAAAATAGAGGGCCAGGGATTTAGCTCAGTGGTTCCACTGCCTGCCTCACAAGCACAAGGTCCCGAGTTCAATCCCTGGTACCAAACAACAACAACAGCAACAACAATATAGAGCAGAGTAAGAGGAAACAGGAAACAGAGGTGGAAGTCTTGATTGAATAAGGTGGGCAGGGCAGGCCTCCACTAGGCAAGACTTGACAAAGCCTTACAGGAGGTGATTACTGTTGTTGTTGTTGTTGTTGTTTGCAGTAAACACATCAGAATCTTTGGCTTCTTTTTTTTTTGGTACCGGGGATCAAACTCGGGTTCTTGCGCTTGCACAGCAGGTGGCGAAACCACTGAGCTAAATCCCCGCCCCATGAATCTTTGGTTTCTGAACCTCCACATCTCTGCCCACCTGTACTCACTCTGGTATCAGAGAAAAGGCAGTGTCCCTGAGTCAGAAGATCTGACTGTGACACCAGACTCTGCTCTGTGCCCACTGTGTGACACTGGGCAAGTCACCTAACCTCTCTGAGCCTGTGTCTCTACACCCTGTGGCCCAGGCTGGGCTGCCCTGGCTGGAAGGGGTGCTGGGATTTCTGAATAAGTTCCCGGGTTTTTATGGGATGGGCTGTTTATCAGTTAGGACTGCATTCTGTTGCCAAGTAATTAAAAAGTAGAAGAGCAAAGGCTTAAACAAGGACTTTATTTTTGTCTTATGTAGAAAACTTAAGTTTAGAGTTGACAGCCAGGGGCTGGAGCTTCAGCTTAGGAGTTTCAGCAAGATCTAGACTCCTGTCTGCTTCCTGCACGATGTGTAGCACCTGCCTTTCATCCTCATGATTGAGGATGGTTGCTGTACCTCCACCCATCCAAAGGACCTTCTCTGAAAGTAGAAGGGAACAAAGAGGAAGTCAATGGCAATCAAAGGTAAAGGGCTGGGGCCAGGGATTTAGCTCAGTGGTTCTGCCACCTGCCTTGCAGGCGCAAGGTCCTGAGTTCGATCCCCGGTACCAAAAAAAAAAGGTAAAGGGCTGATAAGTGTAACACTGAAGTCAGTTTCTTTTCAAATATCTCGACTGGCTTCCCTTCTTATTCCACTGGGCAGAGATGAATCAACATGGCCATCACCAGCTACAAAAGATCTTAGGAAGAATCTTAGCCAAGTACCTTAGCCAAATGCCACCCCCTAAAAGCAGAGTCTCATTGGGAAGGAAAAAGAGAAATGCAGACATGGGGCAGGTGTCCACCACACTGTTCTCCATGGAGCTCTGGGACAGTGGAGGTGGGTGGTCCCTCAGCCCTGGACAGGGACCATGGAACCATCAGAAGAACACCCCCATCAGCAGCCCGGCCCTGGACTGTGAGGAGAGTCCAGGGGTGTTTTTGTCATCTTTCCACCACTGTGACAAAATACCTGAGAAAATCAACTCACAAGGAGGAAAGGTTTATTTTGGCTCCGGGTTTCATAAGTTTCAGTCCCTGGTCACTTGGCCACACACAGCTTTGGGCCTGTGGAGAGGCAGAGCAACACGGCAGAGAGCACATAGCAGGGGAAACTGCACACTTCATGACGGACATGAAGCAAAGAGGGAAGCGGTCCCAGCATCCCCTTTAAGGACAAGCCCCCATAGGACACGCCCCCTCCTGGGACACACCCCTCCAAGAACTAGGCCCCTAGTTCCACCTTTTCCCAGCAGCACTCCAACACTGAGCCTTTGGGGCCCATTTAAGAATGGAACAATATGGCAGCCAGGCCGGAAGCAGCGCTGAAGAGGTTCTCCCTTCCCTAACCACGCGCCCTCCGGCTCACTCGCACCAGAGTTCTGCAGCCTCCCTTTGCACGGCCCGGGTCCGATCTCTCTCACACTCCTCATTGCGTCTCCCTGACATCCTGCTGCTCTCCTGGGGACTGACCTCAGCCAGGTGTGGGTGGGAGGACTGCTCATGGCTGCTTCTGGAAGCCGCCCCACACTCTTCCGAAGGAGGGCTGTGCGGTGAGGGGGACACCCCTTTCTTGCCTGCTGCTCCCCACCCCGGGATTCACAGCGAGGTGGGCGCTCTGTGCACAGCCTGTGGGCCAGAGCGAGCCAAGTGAGGACCAAAGCAAAAGCCACCCTTGCCTGTCACAAGCTCTAAAGTGGGCTGGTTCCGTACCCGTGGGTGGCAAGGTCCCTCGCAGACGGGTTCCTAGGTTCTTGTGCATGATGAACAAAGAGCTGCAAGTGGCACACTACAGTAAAGAAACAGCAGCAGCTTTAATCAGGTGATGGTACGCTCAGAGGGAGCGGCTCCTGGTGGCTGAAAGGAAAATGTCACAAGCGCTGAGGTGTTGGGTTTAACAATTTAAGATGTCCGGCCAGGTCTAGAGCGCCTCCCACTGAGTCGTCCAGGGCGTGATTGAAGACGTGACTGACAGGCAGCTGAGTCAGGTCCGCGTCCGGTCACGCATGTCCTTTCCCATAATTCACTCTGTGGTAACTGGAGGTATGAAATGCAGTCCATAGGCACGAACCTTCCGTGTGCCCTAGGGGAGGAAAGGGTATTGCGGGTCATTCCAGCAGGTCTGGCTCCAAGATCATCCAGATTTGGAATTTTGGAATTTTCCAGGGCTGGCTTAGGGATCTTTGCTTTTCTTATCTCTGCCTCCAGGTAGTAGGCATTAGGACAGAAGTCAGGTGAGTGGTCCCATGTGTAGCCCCAGTTGTACTATCCATATTAGTTCCTCATGGAAGCCTCCACTCCAGGAGTCTAATGGGTATTTCAGATTTCACTTATCCTAAACCAAATCTTCATTCTGCCTGAGGGAAAACTGTCCACCCTCAGAAAGGGTAAACTTTATCCTGCCTGGTGCTCAGGCCAAACTCTAGGAGTCCCCTCTTCCCCCTCCTCTTCCCAGCCCAGCCATCATCTTCCTCAGACATCCATCCCTGGTCTGGCTTCTCCTTCCTCCAACGGGGCCTCACTATCTCCGTGTGCTCAAGACTGACCTGAATCACTGCAAGACCCCCTAGCTGGTCTTCCCCCTGCATGCTTGGCCACTGCCCTCCACCCTCAACATGGCATCCAGGCTTTGTGATGGCTCACAAGGACCCATGTGGTTCCTGGCCAACCTTAGGACCCCTCCAGCCACTTGGAAGTGTGCTCCTGCCTCAGGACCTTTACACTTCCCAAGTCTTCTGCCCAAGAGCACTGGCCCAGCTCCCTCACCCTTCAGACCTTGGCTGGCATCTGAGGCTTTCCCTAGCTTCACTGGGTTAATGGCAATGGCTCTCCCCCTTGCTGTGTACCCCAACCCCACCCCTGCCTGTTTTCCTTTCTTCACAGCAAGTGTCACCACCAGACACGAGTCATATTTTCTTAAGGGTAGGGCCAGTTCTGCTTCGTTCCCTGCTAGACCCTAAGTGGCTGGAACTGTGTGTCAAGTATTCAATCTGCCTGTGCTGAATGAGTAAGTGAACTAACAAAGGAACTATGAGAATGTCACTTGACCCCAGAGAGGCCACAGGAATGAGCAAGGGACCGCTGTCTGCAGGAGGGGTCATAGCACCTGCCTCAGAGTCTCTTTTTCCACTACCTTGGGGAACTAGGGACAACCAGAGTAGAAACTTCCAAGTGCAATGTGGACTGAGCGATGCTGGTGGCCCTAGAAGGCAGGGTGTGCTGAGGGCAAGCTCGGGTTGACTGCAAGAGCTGCTCGAAGGGAGGGATGGGTGACCTTGAACCCCGCCACTGCAGTAGCTCAAAGCTGTGGGAGATTTGGCTGTGTTCCTTCCCAGCCATGTGCTCGTGGGTTCCTTAACCTCTCTGACCTTCCATTTTCACATCTGTTTAATGGGGATAAATAATACTTTCTTCATGGCCCTCAGACCCACTGCACTCCGAGGCTGGCACAGATGCCCATTTCTTTCTGTCCACACCAGGAACCCCTCTTCCTCTTGCAACTGGCACTGCAAAAATGGAACTTTAGTTAGATTTTTTCCTTTAGAGACAAGTGGCTTCTCCAACTTCCTCAGGCCTGGGGCATGAAAGGCTACGCCCACCTGTCCGTGGCCCCAGTGACTAGACAGGAGGTGCAGATGCAGGCAGCAGGAGCTCAGGTCCGATTTCATTTCATCAGGCAAGGGAGGGAGAGGTGTGAGTCTGGACAGGATGCACTGTATTCCCTCTCACATTTTTCCTTGCTATAAAAGACCCTAATACACCTGTACATAAGATAGGGATTTGAGGCCAATGAGCCCTTCCTTGTTCTCAGAGCAAGCTTTGAATAAATCCTTTTTCCTTTCTACCAGAATAAATGGCCTCCTTTGATGTGGTCAGTGACGAGCAGAAGAACCTGAGCCTTTGGGCCTGCATGGCCTGGTAACGCTCCCAGGAGAGCCTAGGAGGCTCATATGCCTTGAACGAGGAAGGCCCTGGATCCTGGGGCATCAAAGTCACCCTGTCCAAGTGCTGCAGTCCAAGCTTCCTGGCTGCGGTTCCCCAACACCCTTGATGGTTTGGAGACTGCTGCCAAGGCTGGGCACCTAGTGTCTGCCTTGTACCTGCTCTGGGGTCTCTGGTCACCTCCTGGATGCTGTGGGGTCCTGCTGTCCTTATAGCATGGAGACACCAGGTCCCAGGAGTGGGGTCATTGCTCTCCAAGCCAATCTTCCTCCCCTAACCCACCCCAAGACATTAGGAAGGATCTCCTCAGCATCTGGTGTAGAAAATTCACTGCAGGTGAGCATGCAAATGCCTTGATGGCGGGGGCGGGTGGGGGCGGTGCTATTCCAGCCTCCTGGGACTGCCAGGCCAAAGCACTGCAGAGAGGTGGCTTAGGTCAACAGAGATGTGTTGTCTGCAGTTCTGAAATCAAGGCATCTGCAGGGCCCGGCTCTCCCTGAGGTGTGGGAAGGACCCAGCCTGTCCCCTAGTTTCTGGCAGTATGCTGGCAATCCTGGGCCTGGCAAATGTGTATAATCCCAGCACTTAGGAGGCTGAGCCAAGAGGATTGCAAGGAGTTTGAGGCCACCCTAGGCTAAATAGTTTATTCAAAGCCAACCTGGAATACATAGTGAGACCCTGTCTCAAAAAACCAAAAAGAAAAGAAACAGTACTCCAAGCTCTTCCTCTAGTGTCACATAGAGTTCTCCCCGTTGCTGCCCACATTTCCTCTTTTCAAGGACAGAAGCCAGGTTAGGGGCCTATCCTACTCCAGTCTGACCACCTCTTAACTAATTGGATCTGTAATAACCCTTTTTCCATATAGGATCCTATTCTGAGGGATTCAGGTTTTAACAAATGAATTTGGAGGGGGACACAATTCACCCCACACCATGGAGAGTCCCAGGAAGCTGGAATGTACCATTTGAGGCGGGGCATGTGAGAGTCTGGTGTCACCAGTGCTAAACAGGACTCACCAGGGTGGAAGAAGGTAGAAAAGTTACGAGCTCATTGATCCTCTGCAAGAGAGCAGTGGGCAAGTTCAAAGGGGGATCACACCATCAGGGTGAAAGGCAAGACTTTTATGTTTGATTTTAACCTGAGACTAGGTCTGGAAACATCATCCCGGGAACGCTTTCATTGGATCATGCTGGTTCTACTGTCCATCCACCCATCTCAGTTCTGAGCAGAGCAGGTATTGTTTGAAGACCATGGTAATATTTTTGTTCAACAGGGTTCATGGCCCTTAGCTTTGCTAGAAACAGTCCTTCCGGGTAAAAGTCATTGACAAATGTGTAAAGATTGGCTAATGTTAGTGGTTAAGGGGATTTGAGTAAAATACATATGTTCGTTCTTGAAAGGACTTTTGCCATTCTAGTTGGAAGGGGAAGAAATGGTGTTCTTGGAGACAGGACAAGCGGTTATCTAGTGATGTATGTGTAGGCTTTGTGGAGAGCTTACCAAATGGAAAGTTAATGTTTTACTACAGACTCAACACTGCTGTAATCCAGCCTTTAAAAAAACAATGGTAAAAAAAAAAATCTTCCCCACAGTATGGCTGGTCACTCCAAATGGGGGCCTCTTCTGATGTTTCAAGAGGAGTCGGAAACTAATTTTATGTGAAATCTGCTGGCTTTCATATGTGTAACCAATTCAGCAAGGTTAACAACCCCATACGGCCCCACCTGGATGTGTCTGCCTGAGAGCCGCCAGGCTGTCACCTGTGGAGGACTGAGCCAAGACCAGGCTCTGCCCAACTCCCAAGGCCAGATGGGCAGTGCATGGCACGCTGGGAGTGGGGTGGAGGCGTGCTTCTGCTGCTATAATACCTGAGAACGAGTGATTCATAAGCAAAAGAGGCTTTTATTGGCCTGTGATTCTGGAGGCTGGGAAATCCAAGGGCATGCTGCTCACTGGCTTGGCTTCTGGTGAGGCTCTTGTGCTATTCAATTCATGGCATAAAGTGGAAGCAGGTGAGGGCCTGTGGAGAGGCTTAATGACTACCCACTGTCGTGATAATGTGAAAAGGGAGGAAGGCCTGAATCCTTGCTGATGACCTAACCACCTCTTAAAGGTCACTGCCTCTCAATGCTTTTATGCTTAGGACCAAACCTCAAGGTGAGTTTTAGGGGACTCCGTATTCAAGCCACAGCAGCATTCTGGTGAAAAGTAGCAAGCTGTGGATGCTGACATAGGGACGGGTGCTGCAGGCCCCACTCCCCAGCCCTGTGACTGCCAGCACCACCAGCCAGGCCATCTCTCTTCCACCACTGGCACAGGGTACATGCACTGCTCCCACCCACTCAATCCAGGCCTGGCTCCTTCTAAACCAAGACCAGCTTCTCTGGCAATGCATAATCTTCAATGACCGTGCTGCGCTGCAGTTTCCCTATCGGTGACTCAGGGAATTTCAGGAAAGGGGCCTGGCACAGGGCAAAGTGGGTGAAGACAGGCTTTTTGGTTGCTCCTCCCTGGTGCCCCAGGAAGCTGCCTGTCCAGGCCTCTGCCTGCCTTCCTGGTTCCCTCCAAGCAAGCCTGGCCCTGCAGATCTGGAAGGGGAAAGAGGATGGCAAAGAGGAAGTGGTGTGAAGAGGAGAGGAAGAGGCCCTCACTTCCCTCTTGCTAGGCACTGCAGGAGTGGGGAGACTGCTGTAGGGGAGACCAAGGCCCTGCTGGGAGCTGCAGCCCTGACTGGCCTGGCCCAGAGTGCCCTGCTCTGCCTGCTGTGACCTGGGCAGAGCTGGCCATTGCTGCACATGCCCGTGCTTTCTGAAACCCAAGGAGGGAAAGGGAGTAAGGGGGAGTCCCACCCAGCCCAGGCCAGCTGGTTGGGCTAATTTTAGCTTTTTTCCAACCTGAAGAAGGCGCACTAATCTCCTCCATTCCAGAAAAGGCACAGGGATCAGTCAGTGCGTTCATATGTGGTGTCCACCACCTGGACCTCACATGTACAAAGTACCTCCCTTTGTCCGGTCTCTTCCCTGGTCAAGCCCCACTCCTCCCAGGAAACTTGCTCTGACCACCAACTCACAAAGAGAGTTCTCCTTCCCCCAGTGCAGGGGGCAACTCCGGTCAGAAGCCACAGTGATGCTGTGTGCCCAG